AAAATTAATAAAATCTGCTCTTGTAAAATTTCTGTTAAAATAAAATTATCGATAATATATATTTTATAATTGAATAAAATTAAATGTTTATTATTGCATTTGGCTTAAAGTATATTTTTAGAATTTACTAGCTGCAACCAAATTTAATATTCAAAAAACTTGTTAGCCTTATGCTTTATTAATCTATTATACAGTAAGTGATTTCATAATAAACAATTAATATTAAAAATCAATACTAATGAAATAACATTATTTAAACAAAATTTAGCATTTGAAAATTAAAACTGTTTTGCTTTATAATAATCGATTATTTAGTTGTGTATTATAATTTTATATTTGTTTATATAAAGTTATACCACATTTGTTAATTATACTAATTGTCTTAATAGTATTACAGTAATATTATATAAAATTAAAATAATACCGAGTCCATAAATGACTAATGTTTAGTTATTATATTTTATTTATAAAATAAGTTTTAAACATCATTAACAATACATGAGGACAATTTTAAAATTTTATTGACTCGTAATTCATTTGTTTATAAACCATAATACAATAGCTATGATAATAACATGCAATAAAACCTTAATGGCTAAATGAACAGGTTTTTGCAAATAAGTATATACAAATTATAAACCCAGTAATTATCAAACTATTTTAAAAACTGGTTTTCGACTAATTTAATTAATGTACTACATTGCAGGCATTGTATGATAACAATGTTAACTTTATTAACTTAACAGTTGAAAAATGGCTATACAACCAATACGCAAAAACAATATTATTTCTATTATAAAATTTTTTTTATTTTATATTTGTTTTATAAATAATTTAGTTAGATGATTATGTTGAAATTAATAATTTAATACGATTATAAAATGATGTTTCAAGTGCATTATATACCAAAGTTACTTGCTTTGTTAATATTTATTTTTCCATTCATACTGTAAGTGTTATATACTGTAATAATTACAAAGTATACTTTTCGTAAATATTTGGTGTTTAAAATTTTAATTTTTATAAGATTAATTTTATTAATACATAAAATTTTTTATTTATGTTTAATTTAAATATGCTTAATCAATTATTTTTTTAGTATTTTTAATAAAAATTTTTATTAATAATATTTAGATCTAGTATCTCCATATTTTATGGACACAGTGGATCAATATTGCAACATTTAAGTGACCTAGATTCATTTACACCGGAGGCATATATTTTTGCATTTATTACATTCATATCAGCTATACTTTATTTAGGATTTAGTATCATAAGATATATTATAATAAACTCATCCATGAACATTAAAACTAATATTAATAATAATAATAAATTAATGTCAAGCAAAAATAAAAATCAAATAAAATCATTAAACAAGTGGTCATTGATTGTAACCCTATGTAGTGCATGGGGTTTGTTAGGTGTGACCAGTTTTAGGCCAAGCAATAAAGGTCTATGGATGATCAAGGCTCACTACTGTCACGCACTAATATATTTTATATTCAACATGACTGATATGATTATTCAATATAAAATAGCATATATTATGTCACGCGACCGGATCGGTACCATGCGACATATATTATTTATGTTTGCACTATTATTTATAACAAGTACCTGGGTATATTCTCGTTCATCAAGTATTATAATTGGCAATGAATCTGAAGATTTTAATAAGCGTGTTCATTTGAAATATAATGATCCCGGGTATATACCCCACGTGGTGTCAATAGTTAGTGAATGGTTGCTAATTTGTATTATGTGTCCATATTTGTGGTCATTTGTATCAGAATTTAAAGAATATTCTGTTCAACAAAATATCCCAGATTGTGATCAAGCAATTTTAAATTTTGAATTAGAAATTGTTTAAATTAAGTTTAATTTTAATTTGATAAAAATAATAATATTGTATATTTGTATATTGTTACAGTACTAGAAATAAATAATTTATAATTAATTAATACATACCAATTTAAATTTCGTAAAACCACTTTTAATTTATTAAGCAAGGTCTTGATTATTGTATTGTCGCTTGTCTTTCTAGGACTTATAGTTTTTGCTGTACATTAAAGCTACCTGTGCAAAGCTACCGGTGCTCCAATCAAGTAGTCTCTTTGGGAAAATAGATATGAGTAAAAACCATAGTTGATGTTTAAAAATATATTCAATATCTCTATCCATTGTTGAATAAATCGTACCTCGCAAAACTTTTCGCGAAACCTAATATATTCAATGCTTGTGATTAAATCATTAATATCAAAAATACCTTTTTAAACCTTGATTATTTCCATTGGTTTATTTTAAATACAAAATGAATAAACTATTAAAAAGTAAAATGATTTATTTATTTGTGTTAAAATATTCATATTTTTGCATTAGTTTATTATATATCAATTTGATGAATATGCTGGCTAATTTTAAGGCTTTTCCCCAAAATTATATTTTATAACAAACACTATTTAAACACTATCTAAAAAGGCTTTTATCAGATCATATTCATAATAAATAAAATACAAATTTATTCATTTATTACATAGTTAATTCATTCAATAACATAACTATTTACTATTATAAATAATGTATTGTATTTACATATTACAAAACAATAAATATTTATATACATGGAAGTTTTATAACAAACATTTCAAAATAGTCTACTTATAATATTGAAACTATTCTGATTAGTATATTGCATATTATATTCAATGCATAAATCATTTTTGTTTATAAAAATATCTTACTACAATAAATATAACAATAAAATATAATCTGTATAACAATAAAACATTTTATTTTATAAAATAATATTTTGTATTATTCATCATTATTGTAGAAATATTATTCAAGATAGTTTACGGTATTTCATTTACAGTATTTTATTAAAATGCAAATTAATTTTAGAGCTTATATTGATTATTTATTATCAGTTATACCTTATATAAGGATTATAAATAATAATACAAACAATACAATCTATTGTAATCAACATAATCACAGTGATAATAACAATACAATTGTATTTTACTATGAGGTAAATATGTGTTTATGTTTATAATTATAAATTCTGCCCCAGGAAAATTAAATAAATGTTAAAAATAACCTAACCTAACCTAACCTAACCTAACCTAACCTAACCTAACCTAACCTAACCTAACCTAACCTAACCTGAAAACCGTGATTCATGATTTTTAAAATTTATTTTGATTACTTGGGAATGATATGTGTGTTATTGTGTTTGATTTATTAACCCAGATTAAATATTTTTATTAATAATTATGTCCCTGTACATTTATGATAGTTGGCTGAGAATGGTGAGTTTATTAATTACGGAATATTGTTCGATATTATTGAATATGTAACGTGCAAATTGGATTTGATACTTAAATTTAGTGATGATTTTGAAAATACCGAGGTAAAATATAATTCTTATTATAGCATAAATAACGCACACATTTCTAAATAGGTGGGATCTTTATTAGATTTATATCCGACAGAGATATTTAATTATGATACAAATTGGGATGGCATAGTATTAGATTCAAATTATTTTATTGAGATTATTAGTGGTCTGAAGTCCACCAAGGATCATTCACTATTGTCATTAGTGAAACTATTTGACTATAATGTATTGTATTATATTTACGTAAATAGTTAACAATAATTAAATGAAAAGTTTACTTGCTATTAGGTTTGGATAGATATAATACTGGCATGGATAATCATTTCTATACTTTTCAGATATATAAATAATTTAAAAATTAATTCAACATGTCATATATTATTAGAAATATATAAAACATTTGTAATGCAATCGACACGTCTATTTAAAAATATTAACGGGCTTTCAAAAAATATTTTATCATATATTTGGTTAATTAGCGTTTTAATATTAGCCAGTTCGTTTTCAAGTATTTTATTAAACACATACTTTAAAGAAAAATGTACACCAATAATTAATACATTAGATGATATTGACAATGTCGACATACCAGTCCTGGCAGATATTCATCAAATAGACAAATTAATCAAATATTACCCTGAATACAATAAGACAACTATCAAGATCATTAATAAATTTGAAAATGATACTGATGTTGTTTCTGGCCTATATTTTGAACCAATAATTTTCCAATTGATTTCCGAAGGTAAACTAGCAATATTATCTAATTCGATGGTGTCAAGGCACTTTAACACTAAATTTCAAAAGTACAATAATGTGTACACAATTTCTAATCATAAATACTTTAATGAGTATACCTGGTTTGTGGTGAAAAAGGGACATAGTTATTATAATAAACTCTCATTCATGTAAGTAGCATATTATGCTTGGCAATAACATAAATATAAATTTTATTTATATTTTTACCAGGTACAAACAAATGCGCGAAAGTGGTATTATTTTCCATCATTATAATGTAATTGATTTTCTATTTAAATTAAAATGGTTGAGTGATTTACATGATACATTAATTGCATACAAACCTATTTCAGTTTATAATAATATTAATTTGCATGAAATGTATAAAAATGTATTTATAATTTTAATATGTGTCTATCCAATATCACTATTTATTTTAGCGTGTGAATTTATTTACTATAATGTTATAAATATGATTTTTGCTTTTTGATTTTTGTTTAATAGCTGGGTGTACCCAATATTTTGGACCGGTTGGCGTAATAATCGACTGGACATGGATCATATGTACCGGTGCTCTCAATATGATGAATCTGAGAACATTGTTAAAGAGCTTGAAAAGTAAATTGATAATTTTTAAAAATATATAACTTACATTATAAAACATTTTAAACAGAAATTGGACCATGGAACAATCAAAAAAATCACCACAATTTTGGTGTGCATTATTTTGGACATACTCAAGGTGTTTTGTTGTACCACTTATTGCAACATTTGTTGAGGCGAGTAAATTGTTTAATGAAAATATTATTTAAATTGAAATGGATAATTTTATTAATATTGTTAGGAATGTGTACTACTTATGGCACAGCCCGTACTTTTGGGTTATATAATAGACTATTTTAGTGCCGTAAATGGGGTGACCTATAGCCAGGCCTGTTGGTCGGCAGCTGTTATGTGCCTTAGCACAGCCCTATTTGTATTGACAGTACACCCCCACCTAGTGCGAGTAATGCAAATAGGTATGCGCGCCCGGAATGCCACCTGTGCTTTGATATATAAAAAGGTATAATATATATAAAAGGATCTTAACAAATAAATCTAACTATATAATAATTTCTCGAATAATCTCGAACTCAGAGAGGGGGGAGGAAATTTGAGTGTAGGCCAGAGGCAATTGGTGTGTTTGGCCAGGGCGATTTTAAGGGATAATAAGATTCTGGTGCTCGATGAGGCCACGGCTAATGTGGACTTACATACCGATGCTCTCATACAACAGACCATAAGACATAATTTTGCAAACTGTACGGTACTTACGATCGCACACCGGCTCAACACGATTATCGATTGCGATCGCGTTTTGGTACGTTATTTATGAACAAAAGTTTATTTATTAGAAGCAAATGACTATAATTGATCTTGGCACTTTCATGGGCCAGGTGTTGGACGCGGGTGAGATCATAGAGTTTGACGCGCCGTATGTTTTAACGCAACGGAAGTCATATTTCTATGACATGTACCGTAAGACCGGTCGCGAGATGTGCAACCATTTGATACAAATGGCTAAAGAGGCAAATCTCACACGCTATAACACTATGGAAGTGGACGGGGAGGACGGGGAGGACGAGGAGGACGAGTAGTCTCATTTGACATATATGTTCGCATAACTAATATTGATAATATTAAAGGATGAATATAACTTTCTAGGAATTAGCAATATTATTTTAAACATTAATTATTGTAGAATTAATTATTTATATATTATATATTATTAAGTTTTATATATAATATTAAAAAGTTTTTGAATTTCTCGTACAATGACTACAACTTTGTGAACCCAACCAACGCTTTCAATATATGGAGTGCGGCCTCAGGTTTGTCTTTAGGGACGGCATGTCCGGCACGTCCGACACCTCTGACCGTCAAAAAAGTGAGACCTTTCTCACAGTGCTGTCTAAAACTGCCCTCCACCCCATCAGGTTTGCCTTGCTTATTGGGAGAATTGCTCTTGTAGAGGTTGCTTTTAAGGAGTATAGACTGTATACTATACTCTTTATCAATGTATGCACTTCAAAGGTACTCATACTGTATGTCTCATTTATATTTTTATGTCTATTTAAACCATAATATTGATTACAAAGCTCACACTCAATGCCTCAATATATTGTACTTTAATCTAAATAATGTTCAAATAATTTTTTAGGTTGAGAATATTGTATAACAAATCCAAACATAAATAATTGTTTCAAATTGTGTAACAAATCTGTAGTATTCTCTGAATTAAAAGTTTCATCACTTTAGTCCTAATTATGAAAACATGCGTCTATTTCACAGCATTTCATAAAGTATTAATCTTATGTAATCATTATGTTTAAATAGTTATCAGGCTTGTCTTGAAGTTGTTACACATTTCACTTAGCTTTATATATTCGCTTTAATATTATAAGTACTTTGATTAACAAACAAAGTACACAAAACTTTTTTATACAAGGGACTATACAAGGGAGTTTATATAAACTCAAGGATTCTGTCATTTGAAACAAGTGAATGTAGCAAGGTATATTAGAAATTGTTAATCATTTTTATCCCTAATTTCTTGTGAAATAATTTTTGATACAAATATATTCATCGATTAAAATGGGTAAAATATATAAAAAATTAAATGAATATTTTTAAAACATTCATACAAAATACTTTTGATTAATACAAATATGACTCAAATTAAAAATAAATCATAGTTTCAATAAATGCATTACTAAAACTTAATTTCAATCATATTTAATCTGTATTTTTTCAAATTAATCGATGAATATACAGTATTTTTATCAAAAATTATTTTACAGCAAATTAGTGACAAAAATGACTAACAATTTCTAATATACCCTGCTTCATTCACTCGTACGTACACTGCTTAAAATGACAGAATCCTACAGTTTATACAGTTTATACAAGGCATATTCGACAGTATGCTCATAAACTTATAAGTGCTTTATCATTCATAACGTATCAAGTCCCACTATAAACTTGCCTGGTTGGCATTAGTGAAATTACTTACATGTAACATTCATATAATGTGACAGTTCCTGATAGGGCTGCCAAATTAAAAAGTTCATAAACGGGAGCTTTCAATAATTTACATTTAAACTCCCGGCAGATTTCCGGGAGATGTTTATAAGGCATTATAAAAAAACTTTCATATATTTTTAGCCATATAATTTTTTTACTATTAAATATATAAATTGAGTTGAATGTTGACATTTACTTTTAATTTAATATTAGACCATTGTTTATAATTGAATAAAATTATTTATAAATTAAATTATATGCCTAATCAATCCAGTAATTAAAGACTAAAACTTACTCTAAATTCTTTCCCACTTAAATCAATTATATTTAGCTTATTTTAAATTTTTAAATTTTTAATATACAAACAGTTCTTAATATAAATATACAAATATTCTCTGTAATTATGTTCACAATGTATTTACAAAAGTGTCAATCTATAAATAATTACATTCAAATCAATCATAATTTAAAAAAACCCCAATTCCGGGAGACTCCCAGTGAAACCGGGAGGTTTGGCAGCCTTATTCCTGATGATAAAAAACGAACATTTTATTTGTTATCAAATGCACTTTTGTAACAAAATGTGTATTCATTATCATCATCAAGAATGACCACTATACTCAATGTTTATAATTTAATTT